AGGACTGGGGTGGCTTTACATCCCCCCCCCCAACTCCTACTGTCCCCATGCCCCTGTCCACACTGTCCCCTTGCTGTCCCCAAACCCAAAGCCGGGGAGGGTTTGGTGTCCCCCCCACGCCCCCCACTCACCTGTGGTCCCTGGGGGTCCCCGCTGGCTCGACCCCCCGCAGATGCTTTTTGGGGTAAGGGCTTCCTGGCTGGGGGAGGGACAGCAAGCCCAGACCGCAAAAAGACCCGAGAGGGACAGGGATGGTGGCCCCGCGGTGGCACCACAGTGACGAGGTGACAAGGAGGGACGGTGACGGGGACAGGCGGAGCCCCTGGGGACGGGGCCTGTGGTGGCACTGAGGTCCCCGCCAGGCCCAGGCTGACCCCTGCGCTGGGGGGGGACAGGACAGGGTGCCATCCCCTGTGTGCCACCCTGTGTGCCACCACCACGTGTCACCCACCACGTGTGCGCCGCTGCAGCGCAGGCACCCGTGAGAGATGGCCCAGAGGGACAGGGGTGTGGCCCAGAGGGACAGGGACATGTGACAGCACAATGGCGTTGTGGCACAGAGGGACGGGGGACATGGCAGGGAGCGATGGGGACGTGCAGAGACGCACGGAGACGTGGCACAGAGGGACAGGTACATGACACGGAGTGAGAGGATGTGACACAGCGGGGGGACATGGCACAGAGCGACGGGGAGGTGGCAGAGTGACAGGACACGGCACAGAGTGACAAGGATGTGGCACCGAGCAACGGGGACACGACACAGCGACAGGACATGGCACAGCGTGATGGGAATGTGATACAACCCCATGGAGATGTGGCACAGAGTGGGGAGGGACGTGGCACAGGGCAGTGCCCCCAACTCCCTGCCAGGGCATCCCAGGCGTCCCCAGGTTTCTCTTCCTCAGCCACCGCAGAGCCAGGGAGGGCAGGAGGCCACCAGAGGTGCTCGGTGTCACCGTGGTTCTGAGTGTCACTGTGGTTTATCTGTCCTCCAGGGCCACGGGGACGTGGCTGATGACTGACTCGGCCTTGGTGGCCTCAGCTGGGTGGCAGTGCCCGGATTTCGGAGTCTCCGAGCCGTGTCCAGGGCTGGTGGCGGGACGAGGCTGTGGCTCCGTCGTCGGCTCCAGGGTCTGTGACTCCATGACCGGTCAGTGTCCCCAGCTCAGGGTCCTGGTGGCGTGGAGGTCCCTGAGGGCCTTTGGGTGGGGACCACCCATTGGTGGCAGCTCCGGGGCTGGTGCCGAGGTGTCACCCCAGGGACAGCCGGGAGTGGCTCCCGGGCCATCCCTGGGCTGTCGGCTCCCTGCCAGTGTCACCTGGGCCTGGGCTGAGGTGGCACCGTCACGTGCCAGCAGTGAACGTGCCCCTGCTCCCTCCCACCGTCACCACCCTGTGGCCCTGCTCCATCCCATGTCCCCGTCTCCCCACCCCATGTCCCCATCCCCATCCCACTCCTCTGTCCCCACCTCACGTCACCACCTCCATCCCATCATCTCCACTCCATGTCCCTGTCCCCACCCCACTGTCCTGATCCTGCATCCCCATTTCCATCCCATGCCCTCACCTCATGTCCCCCTCCCCATCTCATTATCCTTGTCCTCACCCCACGTCCCCGTCCTCACCCCATTTCCCCATTCCCACCCCGTGTCCCCATCCCCATTCTACTGTCCCCACCCTGCAGCCCCAACAAGCTGCAGGACGGTGACACTCCCCTGGTGCCACCCCCCATCCCTGTGTCCCCCCCAGGAGAAAGTGGGACAGGCTGGGGGACATGGCTGAGGCCACCACACCCCTGTCACCCCCCAGTCCTAGGGGATCTCTGTTTTGGGGGGACAGAGGGGATGGAGGGGACATCCCTCGGTGGCAGTGGCTGTGCCGTGCCAAGCTGTGCTGGGAGAGCTTGGGGTGGGGGCTCAGAGGGGTCTGTGGGGGACACAGAGGGGTCTTTGCCAGGTGCCAGCGCCCGGGGGTGGCTGCGGAGGTGACGATGACGGTGACAGTGGCCATGCGTGGCACAGACCTTTCTAGACGGCCAAGGCTGATTTTGGGGTCCCCTGGTGTGGGGAGGGAGGTGCCACCCCTCAACCCTCCCTTCATGTCCCCACCCGGGCAGGGGGCTTGGTGTGACACCCCCCCCGCCCCGAGCGCTCGTGGAGCTGGGGGACCCTCCTGGCAGAGGGGACGTGGGGGGGGGCTGTGGAATGGGGGGGCAGG